TTCTAATCAAATTAGGAGGGTTGATCATGATCTGCAGATTAGATAAGGACTCTACCTTATCACTTAAGGGGATCAACTTCTCCTAATAGGATTAGGAGTTGATCCCTTTAGGATTATAAAAGGAGGAGGGGGCGGCAGCCTCTAAACACACTCATCTGAGATACAGATACAACAAAGAGAGAGAGATCAACATACTGTAAGACTGTGCCAATTTCTCTCTGCCGCCTCCTTCTTGCCGCCACCGCCATTAGCAGTTCGTCTCCACTCACGTGGGAGTCATCAAGAAGCATTCTTGATTTCAGTTCTTTGTGAAAGAATTGAAAAGAAGTTGTGCTCACCTGTCGTCCAGTGGGTTCTTGCGTTGGATCCAGTTCTTGTGAAGAATGTTGTTGATTCTGCTCCGTCCTACACTGCGCCATCTTCAGTGGAAGTAGTCTTTGGTGACTTTTCTGGGCGTGAACACCTTTGTTGGGGGATACTAATTCTCCGTATTARGTATTTCCCTCTCCTACTGTTTTGTTTCAGATATGGTTCGATTCTTGATTCAAGATTGATCATTGAAAATTAGTTTTCTAAAATAGGGAATGTGATTCCCAGTTGTAGGAAGGAAAGAAATTTTTAAAACTCGCCCATTCTATTCCGCTTTATCCGGGCGTCCATACGATGGATCTTTCCATTCCTTCAGTTAGGCCCGGTTTCTTTTTTAGAACTAGTAATGAAATGTTTCTTTTTTCTGCTAAGTATTGTGTGATTCTCTCTCTTGCCGAAGTGACTATTTAACCCGAACTGCTAGGGATAAGCACCCGAAGTGGGGTTTCTCGACTATCGTCATCCCGAGCTATCTCCCCGTACTTAGTAGGGGTAATTTTATAATGTACACCGAGGTGATCAACACAGTGAAAATATGCTCGACCTGTATACACCTGGGTTACTTAAGTTGAAGTCAGTTGTCCCTAGCAGGTCCAACTTGTATATCGGGGCAGGCTATGCATCATAGGATTCACACCGAAGCTGCCTGCGCCTTTGGTATTAATACTTAGCCTATGTCGATGAAAATGTTAGGTCTTATACGGTGCTGAGGTCTTCGTTAGCTCGGTGTTTTAGCCCTTAGGCTGGGGGAGTGACTTACAATCCACTCTCCTAGAGTTCGCCTATGCCATAGAGGCGACTGAGTCTTATAGTGCCGAGGTCTTTTGTAAGCTCGGCATATTGGCCCTTAGGCTCTGGGAGCGACTACAGTCCACTCGGCTTGGTGATTACAGGTAATAATATTGCCTTAAGTTGACAATATTCCATGCCCGAGGTACTTGTTTCCCTTCTAGGGTTTCGAGCTCATACGTTCTTTCCCCAAGCACCTGCTTTACTCGGTAGGGTCCTTCCCAATTTGGCCCGAGCTTACCAACACCGGGCTCAGGCACCATAACTTTACGAAGGACCAGGTCACCGACGCGGAGGTTCCGCTTCTTGACCCTGGCATTATAGTACCGAGCTACTCTCTGCTAGTAGGACGCGGTCCTAATGTATGTGAGGTCCCGTACTTCGTCGAGTAGGTCGAGGTTGGTGCGTAGCTTGTCTTCATTTGCCTTGTCATCATTCACTTCCAGACGTAGCGTGGGAACTTCGATCTCGACTGGGATGACTGCTTCAGTGCCATAAGTTAGGTTGAAGGGAGTCTCGCCTGATGCGGTCTTCACCGTGGTCCGATAAACCCATAGTACAATGGGTAGCTCGTCTACCCAAAGTCCCTTAGCTCGGTTGAGGTGTGCCTTCAGTCCGCGGAAAATGGCTTTGTTCGTGACCTCCACTTGACCGTTTGCCTAAGGGTGTGCTACCGAGGTGAAATTTTGTTGAATCCCCATATCTTTGCACCAGTTCTGAAATTTAATATCCTCGAACTGCTTACCGTTGTCAGAGATTAGTACTCGGGGTAGTCCGAAACGACACACTATACTCTTCCAGAAGAAGTTCTGCACATACCGCGCTGTGATCGTCGTGAGAGGTTCGGGTTCTACCCACTTGGTAAAATAATCAACTGCCACCACTAAGAACCTCCTCTGCCCTGTCGCTGGCAGAAATGGTCCGAGTATATCGATTCCCCACTATGCGAAAGGCCACGGGCTGGTGAGATACTTCAGGTCGACGGCAGGCTGGTGGTGGATGTTGGCGTGCTTCTGGCACTTGTCACATCTTCTAACGAGCTCGATCGCATCCGCCTTCATTGTTGGCCAGTAGTATCTCTATTGTAGTGCTTTCTGGGCGAGAGCCCTGCCCCCCAAGTGTCCACTGCACAGGCCCTCATGAGTGTCGCAGAGCACGAGCTCAGCTTCGGAAGGTCGCAAGAAATGCAGATAGGGGAGCGTGTAAGATCTTTAGTACAATCGTTCGTCTATTATGACGTATTTGGCCGCCTGACGCTCTACCCTTCTGGCGGCATTGCGATTAGCAGGGAGGGTCCCGTGTAGCAGGAAGTTCGTAAGCGGATCAATCCAGCTCGGCTCTGCTTGAACGACAGGAGCGACCTCCTCTGCCCCCCCGAGAATGCTAGGCTGAGGCAAGTTCTCTATGTACACGGTTCTCATGGTATTATCACTGGTGCTGGCTAACCGGGACAGGGCGTCGGCTTCAGTGTTCTCTGATCTCGGGATTTGCTTGATGAAGTGTGACTAGAAGTTGAGCAGTGCCTCTCTTACTTTCTCTAAGTAGGCAACCACGGTTGGCTCGCGGGCTTCGTATTCACCTGCAACTTAGTTGACCACGAGCTGGGAATCACTGCAAACGATGATATGTTTGGCTTTCACTTCGTTTGCTAGAGCCAGCCCGGCTAGTAACGCCTCATACTCCGCTTCATTGTTGGACGCCGCAAACTCAAAGCATAACGCATACTCCAGTTTCACCCCGCTTGGCCCATACAGAACGATTCCAGCTTCGCTGCCCTACTGGTTGGACAAGCCATCTACGTGAAGGATCCAGGGCTCCTCATCTCAGCTCGGGTTCGATCTAACTAGGAGAGAAGCTGCACTAGTTGCTACCCCACGGTGCTCGAGCTCAACTGGCCTGGGAACCTCGGGCTGATCCGACCTGGGGGCCTCGGGCTCGACAGGCCTGGGGACTTCGGTGCTGAAAGTGCATCCCGCGACAAAGTCAGCTAAGGCTTGGGCCTTAATAGCAGTTCGCGGCTTGTACCGGAGGTCGTATTCGCTGAGCTCGACGGGTTAATATCGTTCCCACAGACAGTGTCAATTGTTGGTGCTCGGAATGGCCGAGGAGAACAAAGTAATTTCGCCCTTGGATTTCGAAGGGTGGCCGAAGGCTTTAAGGACTTGGAGAGGTCGCGGCTGAGGCCAAGGTATGTATGCCGAGGCAGGGTGGACTCCGAGTACGGTAGAAGCCGAGGGTAGGTGGCTGAAGTGCTGCAAGGCAGAAACTCGTTAGAGGCCTCGGGTGAGAACCCGAGGCAGAGTCTCTGACGGTCAAGTTAGTACAGGGTACGAAGGGAGAGTACCAGGATAGGATCCTGGTAGGCAGTTCCAAAATAAAGTCACAATAGCAGTTATTGCAATAGCTATTATGACAATAGCTGTTGACCTTGAGTTTTTGTAACCCCTTTACCTGGAGGGGGATACCCCTATTTATACTTGAATTGCCTGGAGGTAGGTGGAGATGAACACCTGAGATAGGAGCCATACGAGGACCTGCAGTGGCTTAGGCAAGGTCATGGGAACGCATCACGGTTGGCTCCGTACGATGGGGGCAGGGTAACCCCTACTGTAGCGAATCTAGTTCCCTGATCTGGCGCTCGTGGGGTGGGCCTCCCAACCTCAAATGGGTTGGGTTAGGTCACCCCACATCAAAAGGCATTGCTGAAAAAGCCACGGCAAAGAATGCAACATCTGATAGAACGACGAACCAAGCCATAGAGGGAGATCGAGAAAAACAAAGAGAGAATTAGAGAAAGAAAGAAAGGCAACCGAAAACTGAGATTTGAGAAACTGTTAACCATAGATGTATTGCATGTAGAGACTGGCCGCTTCTAAGAAATTTGGGCATTTGATAAAAAATTAGACGACACCCAAAGGACATTGGATTAAATTGAGACATTTTGGGAGTTCAAAAACTGAATTGACACATTTTAAAATTCGTGTACTAAATTGGGACTAGGCTTAGGATACTCTGCAATTTACCATTTACTTTTAGCACAAAGTGACTGCTCTTGCAATGTTTTGTATTTTGAAGGAATTACTTGATTAGGGTGTTTCATCACTCAGTAATCGTTCTTTACTCAAAGCGCCTTGTTTAATAAAATCAAGAATGCTAAGAATGTATGTACAGTGTAGATGCACATACCACCACAAAACTAAGATGCTGCTTTTCTTTCTGGAATTTAGGCTGTTTCCGAAGCCTGAAATTAGAACTCACCATGCATATGATATGATTTAGTTCAAATTTTCAAATCCTCTACGTCCGACTCGTCACGCTGGGCCAATCATGAAATACCATGTCAGCTCTGTACATGGTAGGACATCACGATTGAACCAGTTTCATCTGGCTTCCATAGAAGATTTGAACACCTTGTTACTATGAAACAAGGCGTCTTCCTCCGCAACTCGCTTTTCCATCATTTTAGGACACACGAATTTCTTTTTAGCCAGTAAGTTTATTGGTCTAAGAATCATAGAACTATAAAATCTAAAAGAAATGAATTTGGTTCTTCCACGAAGTTGGGAGGGGTTAAGGAGAGATTTCACAAACAAACAATCTTAAGTAACAACAAATTTTGTGCTCTTGACTTTCTGCCCAGCAAGGATTTTCTTTCGAAAATATATTTTAGTGAAGAACTTTTCAATTTTAACCATATGGATAGAAACATATCACAAAGACCAGGAACTAGAACATAGGGTTCACAGATGTCACTACAAGGAAGCCTTGCCCTGCCAGTATAGAAATTCAATGCGCATGAGAACCAAAAATAATAAAGTTAAACCCAAAACAAAATTGGTTATGCTAAATAAGATTTTCTCCACACCTAGGTATTAGGAATCCTATATTAAGAACTATTTCTCAAAACACAATCCACAAAAATGAATTCAACTTGATAGTTTCAATAGATCTGCAAAACATGTATTTTGAAATGATCTGAAAAGGTTTGCTAAATCAAAATAAGTTGGCTTATCAGAAATACCAAAACAAAATTTGATAACTCCACCTCAATAGATGTAAAGGATGACCAGTCCCAACTGACTACTTCTTGTCTTCCTTTTCTGCCTCTGCAGCCTTCTTCATTCTTGCACCAACCTGACGCGTGTTCATCCTCTCAACACGCAGCTTGGCATAGGCTTTGAATGATTTCATCTCATCTGTAACCTTCACGAGCTCAATAGATGGCTTCTCACGTTCAATGGGCATGTATGCACCTTGGACCTGAGTAGCAGTTGCTAGTTCCTCGGCACTAGAATCACCCGCCTGCAAGAAAAGAAGTGTTAGAAACAATAAGGAAGCAAAAGTTGGTGGATTCCTAATAAATGGACACCACAGAAAACTCTCTTAAAATATTTGCACTAGTTACTTTTACCTTAAACTTGCGGGCACGTCTTGGAAAAACAACTAATTTAGCCTTGTAAGTCTTCAGCCTCTGAACATTAGCTTGTAGACCCTCCAAGGAACGGTTCTTGCGGCGGTGATCAACTGCAATACCAATGGTTGGGGCAAGCTTCTTTGGAATCCCTGCCGCCTGGAAAGTACAAGAAGAGACTAAAAAGATTCAGGAAAAAGGAAAACACAATCAAGAAAGAAATATAAGAAACACAAAGAAGCAACAATCAACACAGCATACACCAAGGTCTACTTCAGACATTTTGCATTCCTTAAGATATTTCAGCAGCATTCATACATTTGATGATTATAAATTTCCTGATACTTCCTAGTACATCCAAGAAGTAAATAATATGTTTGTTTTTTGTCTAGGCAAAAAAAATAAAACTAATTTTTTTCAGTTAATCAAACAAAAGATTCCATTCACCTCCATCCGATAATGTTGAATAAGTTATTATAAACAAACAAACAAATATTGAAATTAGTAATGAGAAAAATAATTTTACCTTAAGCTCTTCAAGAGAAAATCCCCTGCCAGCTCTAACCTTCATATTGTACTTCAGAGTTTGACCATGAACAATAGGACGAAGTGGTCCAGCTGTAGGTCGTGGGAAAATCTTCACAGCCTTTTTCTGCCTAGCTGAAAAGTTTGTCACAGAGCATCCATGTTAATAACCAAAGCTTGGTGTCCAAAGCCTCAGTAGGTATAGAAAAGCATTATGGTACCTAAAAGATCCAAAATGGAATAAGAGAAAGTATACAAGGATGGTTTGGTCATATGAAGAGAAGACCATCTATGACACAAGTGAGAAATGATATATCACAATTTGAAGGGTACGGAAGAGCTAGGCTTATAGTTTGGAAAGAGTACAAATGCATATGAAATAATACAAAATATAAAGTTTTGCACTCTACATATTTGCATTTGTACTCCTTCCAAATTGAGCCCCATAGGGACAGGCCAAAAAGGACATGAATTGAACAACGGCTAATGGCACTGACCATAGAAGAATGACAAAACAGTATCCATACAGCCGATCACATCACCACATATAGTTAGGACAAGGCTTAACTAAGTTAAGTTGAGATAAATGACCCAAGCATGAAGTGAAACACATTGATTGAATAAATAAAATCTTACCAATTCGTCTTCTTGTCTTGCGTGCTGGTTGGTTAAACCATGTTTTGACATAATTCTGCCAATGCTTTTTGAAGTGCCCATTGGGMACAACATTGTTATGCTTAACCATGAATTACCTGAAGAACGACAGTGGCATAAGACTTACATTACTGGTAACAAATCCCTACAGTACTATTCCAAGCATAACTTATTGAATAAAAACATGCAGAATCAAAACAAAAACGTAAAACAAGTCTTAAGAAGTTAATTATTTAAAGAAAAAACAAACAGAATTGGATGGATCCAAATATCAAGCATATGGAAGGCATATCGCCACATACTTGGCTAAATGGTTGCCATGGTTCGTATTATCAATAAGGGCGTGTTGCCTTCATATCATGATCCATTATCTAGAATAATTAATAGTAAATGCTGTGTTTTTCTTTTTATTTGGAGACTATTCGTCAAGGAATGCCCAAAATGAAAAAAAAAAAAAATAGGAAAAATTATCAGCCTATATTAGTGTTTTCTTGACATGGAATCTCGTTTTCTTTTACTAAACTAGATTAGTTTGCAAGTTCTGGTCTCCTCATCTGCATAACGCAGAGAAAGCCAACAGAAATGTTTTAAACCCAACACTGAAATCGAAGAATCCTATTAAACCCAACACAAATGGGTCACATAACTCCGTTTGATAAATCGCAGAATCCTCTAAGAATACCATCAATCGGAAGCCAGCATGAAAATGCGCAGAGAAACATAATATGGAAAAAACAAAACCAAAAAATCCAATAATCGCATGGAGAATGACTTCAGCTGAAAATAATAGAAATCTCACCTGAAACTATCACCGGAACAAAACCTTCGTTGGAGATATCACTTGCGTCACAGTTCTATTTGTTAAAGAATGTAAACCTAACCTTAAAAMCCCTAATTTTGATGGCTACGATTTCACCTCTGTCCGGAGACTTAAATCAAGCAAAATTACTTAAAAGGACATGAGTTATGTGTTTATAAGTGCGTGTTTGGTTGAGGGATGGATATGTCATAAAGAATCATTTCCTCTATAATGGTGTGTTTGGTTCGCGGACAGGACCAAAACTCTTTTTTTTTATGGAAACCGAAATGTGCTACACAAGCCGGGGGTAGCACATCCCCACGAGTCTGCAAAACAAATGAGAGACAGATTAGAGGGGTCAAGAGAGAGGGAGTCCCCCTGAGTTCTCTAGCGCTAAGTGAGTTAAAAGATTTGCCGCTTGATTTGCCTTCTGGAAGACATGGTGGTAAGAAATACGTAGGTTGAAAGCATCCATGAGCTCCTTGCAGCTGGAAATTATGCTCCTTAAATGCCACGGGGGGAGGTTGACCCCTGAAGTCAAGAAATGACCAGCTCCGAGTCACCTTCGATTATGACGGGGGTATCTTTAAAGTTAAGAGCAAGATTATGTGCTTCCCATGCAGGCCAAGCCTCAACAACATTGATGGTGGTGCAACCCAATTTATAACATTTAATGTCAAGAACATTTCCGAATAAGTCTCTAGCAGTGCTTGCAATAGAAAAGCTTCCACTAACACTGGAGGCATCGAAATTAATTTTAATGGAGCCCGTCTTGGGGCTCTTCCAAATGATTTACTTCCATGATTTGGTAGATTTATCAACTTGCTTAAAATGAGTACTACTCCAGAAGTCATTTAAATGATCAAGAGCCCTCTTAATGACCAAAGAGGGAGGAGTTGAAATATTAGAGAGTTTTCTGGTTTCTGCATTTCCACAAAGCCCAAAGCATAAAGGCATTTTTTTTCAAGATTAAATTCTCATCTTTGCCTTGACTTTCACACAACCCATTCCACCACTCCCAAATATTGATATTTTGATTGATTGGCCCATTAAGAGAAGGGGGGATAAATGTCAAACCTGATGAGAAAAAGTACATACCCTAAAAACAACAAATGGTATTTATGGTAAATCCCTTTCTTTCTAGATTGAGTTTCAAGGGGAGTCTATTCTTCATTAGGAGATATAAAAGAATTCTTATTTTTGTTGGGCATCTGATTTTCCAAATTAACCTATTTTTTTGGTTTTGATTGTTATTAAACTCTGAGTTGTCAAATTTATAGCCAAATAGGCTCACTTCGTAGAAAAGGTACCCTCTGGATTGAGCCTCCAGATCAACTTATCCCTTGCCGAGCTAGAGGGAATGAAAATGGCTTTGATAAGAGACCAAGCTTGATTAGGGACTAAATTATGAATTACTTTTCAACATCTTATCAATAACCTCAACAACTCTTAAGTTAGGGTTCACCCTACTATTAGGATGGAACCCAAACTTTTTGAGGGTTTCCTCTATATACTTCCACTCCAATCTGTCATCAGCTTTTTCCATATCAACTTTACAAGCCAAGATTCCAGATTTTCTTTTTTCTCATTACATGAAATACCTAATGTGCAATAAGAATATTGTCATTGATCTGCCTATTAGGAACAAATGCATACATGGGGGAGATAAGGCTATCTAAACATTATTTTACTCTACATGCCAAAATCTTTGCAATGATCTTATAAACTACATTGCAAAGACTAATTGGAAAGTAGTTATTCACTACTTCCCAATTTTTGCATTTGAGAACAAGGGTGATGAAAGTTTTGTTTAAGATACCACACATCCTTCCAGTATGAAAGAATGACTTCACCACACCACAGATTTCAGACCCCGCAATATGCCAAATTTTTTTAAAGAAAAGGGCATTAAGACCATCAGGTCCCGGGGCCTTTAAATCCTTAATTGAAGAAAGAGTTTCGAATATTTCCTTATTTGTTACCTCTCTTATGAGAAGATTATTTTACTCCTCATTAACACAATTTTCAATATCCATTAGGAAACTATCAATATCAGTCGTACCCTCTGTTTTGGACCTTCTAATGAATTTCTCTTTGAAGAAACTTGCAATGTCATCCTGATCTCTTAACCAAACACCCTCGTCATTTTTCATCAACATTATCCTATTTCTTGATTTTCTAATAGTAGCAGACATATGGAASAATTTGCTATTTTGATCTCCCAAACTTAACCAGTCGATCCAAGATCTTTGGGCCTAATAAGCCTCCTCATGAAATAAAATATTATTTAACTGCTTGTGAAGCGCATTTTCAAGGTTAATAAGAGTTCTTCAAGTTTGCTTAGTAAGGACTGTTTTTTCTTGAAAATATTATCAAAAACATCTCTGTTCCATTGATTGAGCTTTTGTGCTAGATTATTACTCTTCTTAACAAATTGGACAACTCTAGATCCAGTGGCATTGATATTCCATGCTTGAGAAACCGCCCCCTCAAGAGAAGGGTCCATGCACCACCATAGTTTTCAAAGCGTCTAGGCGATTCTGGGCGACACTGGGGYGCCTAGTCGCCTAGGCGATAAAAATTTTATAATATGAAAAACTGATTTTTGGTTAGCTTCCTAATTTTATATACCATTCAGCATGTATGTTAATTGAAAAATAGCAATTCTTTTTATTAAGAACATTAAATTTCCTCTAAAAATGTGGCAAATCATCACATCTAAAAGATTAAAATCTTATACATATATTAATTTCATTATTTTCAAAAATAATACTACTATAATAAGTATTTAACAGAGCAGTTTCATATTGATTAGCAGCTAAAGAAGGTTATTAACTTTATATGATAAATATTCAAGATGGAAAGTAAAATAGAAAAGAAAAAATGAGGATTGAATTTCTATTTTCTTTAATTAGAGAGAGAATAGAAAAAAAGAACTTTATTATTCTATTGTTACTTTCCCTTTTCTTTTCTTTTTTTTTCTTTTCTTTTTTTTTTCTTTCATTCTTTCTTTTTCTCTTCTCAAAATCCTTTGATCTTTTAAATTTCAATAGTAAAACATTAAAACAAAATATAATTGATATATATATAGTATATAATAAAATGTACTAACACATACATTAATAAGATACAACAATATAAATGATATTATAAAAAGTGCCCGCCCTTGTCATTTTTCTCGCCTAGGTGGGCGCCTAGTTGTCTAGAAGGGCGCCTAGTTGCTAAAAGTTAAGGCGTTCGGGCAAGGCGCCCAGCCAAGGGCGCCTAGTTGCCTAGGCGATGCCCTGACAACTATGTGCACCACATGGGCTCAAATATGAAAGGCTTTTTTCTTCTAATGAATTGGCAATCTGTATTAAGTAACAGATTCGGCACCTGTTTGGTTCTATCAGGAATCAGAATCGAATTCCGATTGTTGCTATTTGGTTCAACTAGAAGCTAAGAATAAAATCAGCTAAAATTTCAAATTCTACCCCTCTTAAAAGAACCTCAAAAATATACCGCTTTATTATATATTTTCAACAAATACACACATTAACAATCCGCTAACAAATGTATATATGGAGAAAACATGAAAAAGCCACATAAACAAACAAAAATCTCTTATTAATAAAATTCCATGTAATATCAGAGACAAATCATTTCCTAGTGAGAAGCTGGAACAATACGGTATACAGTGGTCAAAAAGATATAACAGATTAGCATTGAGAAAATCTCTAGGGGTGATGTCAATATGGGTGTGAGCAAAGGATCACAACCGTCTAATCGTGGTATCAGGGAATACTTAAGCAGTGGTGGGGCCATCTGTAGAAAACTGACATGGGTTTCATTTAACTCATCAAAACAGATGGGTCCAATGTGAATTGAGTGGGTCTCCAAAGGTGTAACTTGGAACCAAAGGACTCAAGCCCAATTTGTGAAAAAGCTAGGATTTACTTGGTCACCTAAGTTGTATCGACCAAATGATGAAGGATATTTTATTGTAAAACATCACTATAGTATAGTGATAATATCCATGTATCATGCTCATACATACTTAGAATCTGTTTGGCTTGTTAAAATAGTGATCTAGAATTGGAATCCAATTTCAACCGTTTAGTTGGATAAAATCAGAATCTGATTCCCATTTTCGGTGGAATGACATTCTTCCATGTGAGAGAATGACTATTCTCTCCCCCTCCCTTGAGAATGAGAATTCATTTTAATTTCAATTCCAATTTTGATTTCCATCCAAACCAAACAGACAGGAGGATAAATCATTCCAATTCAGATTCTGATGGATTTTGATTCCAATTCTAACTGCAAATCAAATGAACACTCAAACAAATCCATCAATGGGTAAGTTTGAAACCTCCTCCAGTCATCGGATTGGGCTAGGCTTGATCTGAACCAGAGCGTACCTTGACCAAGTTATACCCATAATGACTTTTCCCCAGTCATGCACTATTGTAATGACTAAAGATGGAAAACGTATGAAGGAATTGGATTTTACCGTGAATTTACCCTCCACCCCCACCCCCAGCAGACAACCACGCTTGACCATTTCCTACACCAAAATTTGCTCCGCACCACATCTTTACTACGTACTAAGACCATCGAATGCCAAAACATGTCTAACTTCTTTTCTTATTGCCCGATTTCTTCCATATTCAAGAGGGTTTAAAGGGCTCTGGAGAGAGAGAGAGATATGAAGATGGCTAACAATAATAAAGCAGCAGCAGTGCTATTGATATTTGCATTGGTGGTAATGTTTGTGTCTGTGAGAGCGGAGATCAAAGCTATAAAACATTGGCTTGTTGGGAATTCGAACGAGGACAACTGGAATCATTGTATGAAGTATGACTGCATGCCCAAATGCATGGACCTTCCTCATGTGACTGAGGAAGCCTGCAAGAAGAGATGTGATTATGCATGCCAAGCTTAACAAGGAAGAGATGGGTAAACAAGGCCTGACTCACCCTTGCGCCATATATACCTTCGAGTCTAGTTCCTTGTAATTTATATGGGTAATTCCATACACCTTCCATCTGCTCCAGAATGATTGTGCTTGGTTTTTTTTTTTTTGGTTGCCCCATGAATAAAATATTGACTTGGTCAAAATTCTCAC